TGCCAAACCAGAACAGAGCCCCAAACAGAATAGACCAGCAAAGAATGCGAATAGAGGTTTAGATGTTGATGGATACCCTGTATGTATATTTAAGTGGCTAAGATTTTACTTGCCTGGGCAGCACGTTTAGAAGTTAGTGAATGGGATCCACTATATCATACAACTATCCCATTGAACTCAGCTGGCAGCGAAACAATCTTTGTGAAACTTGTGCAAGCTCCATCTTGAACGTGAAGGCATAAGAGCTGCTCAGATTGTTTAACTGTATCATCAATTTACCTATGTGAACTCAGCTTCTACAACAGCTAACTCCCTGAGATTTGGTGCATACGTCATTAATTCTAAGTATAAGTTAAATAAGTTCAAACCGGCTCATTGCTTACACTCTAACATGATAAAAATCAATCAGATCGTTAGAATTGGTCAGATTGAAAGGGAATGAATTTCTGTCCGTCTCACAGAATATAAATGAGAAACTATTAGCGTAACATTTGAGACAGTAATTCTCACAAGTTTATTAACTGACTCAGCATTCGCTGTATCTGTATCTATACGCGTAGATCTGAACATCTGTAGATCGTTCTTTATGTTTTATCTTCAACTTGATCTGCATCTCAATTCCCATGTTTTGCTGCTGCCGATTCACCTAATTTGCTAACTCAGCGTAAAAGGGAAGAAACAAAAGCGAATCCCACAAATTGTAAAGCGCCAGACATGGTTTCAGTTTCAGTGCATACATCCACAAACATACATATGTATATATGTATATATATATGTTTTCGAAGCATTTTTGGACTGTTGACAACGAGCCCATAAACAAGCTCGTAAAAATTCCACCGAGTGCAGAAAACACGCACATCGAATTCAATTAGAGACTGTTGCATACCAAATGCCCTTACATCCAGAATATAGATCAAAGATATGATTTATAAAACTTTCAACTTGATATCAAATGAAGTAGCTCTTCCAAGTTTCATCGATTTTCATATACTGAAAAATGAGTTCTCGAGGTGTGAGCTAGTCGTATAATAAAGTAGGGCTATTCTCCCAGTTTTTACTTATGTTATATTTACAATAAGGCGACAAGATTGCATCAAATCTATTAAAGTTTGGTCCATTGAGAGCTGAGTTCACTGAGGTAGCTATATGATATTGCAAGACAAGACAGGGTCTTGAAATAAAGCAGCTGAGTTCGCTTAGGTGATTAAAATGAGAGACTCTAATCGTTTTGATCATGAAACATATATCTTTCATACAGATCCTTAGTTTCTTTCTCTTTAGTTCTCACTAAGCATCACAAGTTTCCCATAAGTCACTCTATTATATAGCGATGTATGCAAAGTGCTTCTCCAAATCAATATACCCTACAAGCACTCAAACACACACTTGAGGAACACTTTACACAAATCAAGCAGCAGCTCCACTTATCCAACTTTAACCCAGCTCCTTGGAGCGTAACGTGGCGCACGCGCTCGATCACCCCTCCCTCTTCCACTCTCTCTGTTCCTCTACCTCTCTCTCTCACTCTTGTCCCTCTTTTGGATGCTATTCAGGAATTTGCGCAGGCGAACGGCAGCTGTAGCCCAAAAAGGGCAGCGACTTCATCTTCCTCCACTGCTTATCGAGTAGGCAGAGGCGTTTGGTCTGGTAGGCGGGTGGGCGTGGCAACGGGTTCTTGCTCACCAAGTTAGCCGAATCAGATGCGACGGCGGCGACTGGGACTGTGGCCTGCGCTCGGTTCCCACCAGATGAGCGCCTGCCAAGGCTAATGTACGAGTGCCTGAGCAAATATTAACTAAGGAATACCCTGTAAATTGCAATTGACTTCGTTTTGGACAAATAATATTCGCCAGGAGAAGCATTTAGACAGGCGTGGTATTCCATCTATCTTTTCCAATTCTATTGTTAGCATACTGAGAATGACCTAGAACAACAAAACAGTAGATTTTTCTACATACCCTGTGAATTATATAAGTTATATTTACTTAATTTTACTGCTGATCTAAAAGTCAAAGGTATATTGTGAATCGCATAGAGAGGCTATAAAGTTCCAATGCACCGCTCCACGCGCTTCTCAGTCACTTGCTCTTCTCCCTTTGCATATTGCGTGCTACGGAAGCATCTTGGAGAGCCCTTATCCCATTAAAAGCCCCCCAACGACCTCGTTCTCTCTCTCTCTTTTCTTCACATTTCTCTTCCAAGCGATTCAATGTCAAGTTCGTGTTTGTGGTTTATTCAGCTTCATCTCAGTGTGAGCTCATTCGAGGCGCTTTTCGGAGGGTACTGCCACGCCCCAAGAATGACGCCATAGGTGGGCGTTTCTCTTCCCCTTTCTTTGGGATAATTGTTTTTGTTGTCCCCAAAAAGTTAATGCGAGATGTTTATCTCGCTGTCAAGGACAAATGCACACACACACACACACACACACACAACCACACACACACAGAGGCAATCGAGTGTGAGAATGTGTAAGAGTCACATTTATGACTCAACCAAACTCATTTGAAAAGGAAGCCACGGAAGATTCGCTGCCGGGTATAATCGACTGCGCAACACCCTGCTCACAATTCTTCTGACTCTTGCTCTAATTGTGATTCACACTTAAGTGGGAACTGACAAACTGTGACTACAGAATGCGTACTTATAGTCGCAATAAAAGAGGGAGAGAGAGAGGGATAATTGATCATTCGACCAACTGATAAGGTGATTCAACTTACCCGAATTTACTTGAAAAGTTGACCACAAAAACTTGGCCTCCAGCTTGAAGGATAGTTGGTTATACGATATTTAGTATACATATATCTATATATACATTATATGTCTTTAGATAATAATTAAATTATTACCTAGTAGTTAGTTACCTAAATAATTCAAACTCTGCTAATTGAAATAAACTTATTTTCTTTTAGATGTCTATTTTTATATAATTTCATATATACTTTATAACTCCAATAATTTCAAACTTTTCTTATATTTTTTTCATATTTGGTTTGCAATCAAATTTGTTGCTCTGCCAATCAGAATTCATTTTTGTATATATCCTCTCTCTTTCTCTCTTCTACATTTTAATTGCAGCGCCCAGTAAAAGGCTTGCAAGAAAAAAAAAAAACAAGTCGGCATTGCCAAACGGGCATAGCCAACTGTTTAATACTCGCTTAGATTTTTTCAAGCTTCAATCGTTTTCAGTTTGTCACATGTGATATAACGGTAAGCCTTGACAATGATTACTATGTATAGCATTAATGCCCAATTAACGCTTCACACTGTAATAGACGAGGGCCAAACAAATTAACAAAAATCATGGTGAGAGACAAATCTGGCACAATGCCAATATGCCCTATATTTTCCTACTCCAAGGAGTAGGCATGTTTTGTTTATTATAAGCAGAGCGTTTTTTACGCTCTTTACGCTCTCTTTTCGTTAAGTTAAGCGGCAGCACCGTTAGAGGCAGCGCAGTCGGCGTTACCGTTTTGCAGCGCACGCTTTGCTCGTTTTTTTTTTTTTTTTTTTTTTTGGTGGTTGCAGAAAAAAAAACCATTTAGTTAAATTAACATGCTTTAAACTAATTAAAAGCACGCAATGCAAATAAAATATAAATAAAGCTTATCTCAGCTGCTAGCAACAATAACAACTTTTTTATAGTTTTATTCACTATTTGAAGTCAGGCGACGCCTACGACAGCCAAGGGCTGCGGCAGCGGCAGCGCTGCCCACAGGAGCAGCCACCGGCTGCTGCACAGACACAAACAAACAAACTCACTCACACATACACCAAACTGTTCTTATTGATTTTTCACACACACATACAAAAGGGAGCTAGCGAAACGCGAATTAGCACAAAAGGCATTAGATAAATGTGCATAGAAGCCGCACCAACAGCATTAATAGTAACAACCGTTATTGCGATTGTTGTTGCCCAAAATGAAAAACAACAACAACTAAACACTTACTGCACTTCCTGCCTCTCCCGCTTGCGCTTACACGAGCTCTCTTTCTTTCTCCCTCTCTTGCTCGGTCCGCTTTGGTCGTGACTCCTGCTCCTTTTTACAGCTGCACACGATTTTTTTTATTTTAGTACACACCCTTTTTGCACACACACCAAATTTAACATGCAAAAAATTAAACAAAAAAATGAAACACTTTTATTTGCATACACTTGTAACTAGCATTTATTTCATTTAGATTTATTTAGAATGATTTTCATTTAGAACGCGCGCAAATTAATTCGAAACAAAATATTCGCAACGCGCTCGCCGGGATGCTCAACACACGACCGCATTCAACGAGTTGCTAATTCGTAATAACAGTGGACATAACAGCTGTTCCAGCGGTTTCGTTCTTTCAGTTAGCAGCCCGCCAAATGTTGCTCAGCGCAGCAACAATACCAATGTTAACTTAACATAGCTGGCTCCACACCTAACTTGAAATATGTTGGCAGCCTTTTTAAAATATTCTTACTGGCTGCTCGCAAATGTTGCTAAACGCACAAATGCCAATGTTCACTTTACGTTGTTCGCTCCACACTAACGTTACTTATGTTAAAAATAATCAAATTGGCTGCCAATTATATTATCGCTTTAATCAACCTAAAAAATTAATTTGAAAATTTTGTTACACATTATATATATAATAAAATTGTAATCCTATTGCACCCAATACGCTAATTTGCATTATTTAATAATACTTTACATATGAATAACGATAAATATTAGTTAACTTTAACTTTGAATGGCCATCAACTACGAAAACTTAATTTCAGCACATTGTATTTACTACCAACAAAATAATTCTTAATTAAATTTAAAAAGTAACCGCGCACGAATGACGTAATGATTACATTATCTGAACAACAGCTCAACATACAAACGTAAACGCGAGCTGAGGCATGTAAACGCAAAACTAACGCATAAGTGCGCAACGCAAACGGTAGAATTACAATACATTTTATCGATATAGCAACCCTTCAAAAACACACATAAGATACATTTTTTTGTCAGCAGCAGATTTTTTTGTGTGGTAAATAATTTTCATAGATTTATTGTGCATACGTATATCAAAATGTCAACAAAACTCTAATACGTTTGCGTACAAGTGTACGCATTAAGTAAACAATATGAATACATGAAACAACAATTGACATAACTTGAGTAAAAGCAAGAAAAATTTTGTGTACCATACAAAAAAAAGGAAAAAGTGGCGACGTTTTTGCTGCTGCGTATGGAATGAAGAAGAAGAGCAAACAGCGCATTGAAAAATATACGGAGAAGCGAATACAGAGTGCGCTTTGTTATACACGCCATAAATACACATATTTATAGCAAGTGCATATTTTGTTTTGTTTAATTCTAATTGCAGCTGGCGAGGCAACCAAATGCATTAACTGAAAAACTAAACGCAAAATAACTGTAAAGCAATTTCGTGTCGTGACGTGCTGTGTAAGTTAAACAATTGATTTATTGGTCAAAAAGAAAAAAAAACAGCAGCAGGCATATAACAATTTTACAATTGCTGTTATATGGACGGCGCTGTTATACACAACAAAAACACTGTAGCACAGAATTGAAGCGGCTCTGATTTTCAAGAATTATATTGCATGAGTGTGTGTGTATTGAACAGGTTTTTATTCGCTTTTATTTGGTGCGTTGTTGTTTTTATTTTTGCGCAGCCTTTGATGCGCTTTGTCCGCATGCACATATCTATCTCAGTAGCTGTAACTGTGGGTGAGTGTGTGTGTGTGTATATATATTGCAGCCCTGAAGGTCAGCGCTGCTTTCTCCTGTTGTCTTTCGGCTGCTGTGCAAACTAATTACAGTTCCCTTCTCTTGCTCTTTTTATGCAGCCAGCCACTTGAAAGAGCAAAAAAGTAATTATCATTTTGCGCAAATGTGAATGCACTTACACACACTTGAACTAGCTAGCATGCTGCGTTGTAGTTGTGTTTAGTGCGCAGGTAACTTTGCGTTTGCCTACCCCCTGCCGCAGGCGTGTGTCAGCTGCCCGCTGTCCATTGTTCCTGTTTTTTTTTCGTTCAACCACCCACACGCATTCTGCATGCAGAGTTGCATGCGATAATTTGAATATGTCGAATTTTATGCTGAGATGACATTTGCTACTCTGCTAAGCACAAGCAAAATTCAGGATATTTGCTTGGAGCAAAGCCTCTCTACCGGTATGACACTTGTCATTATGCTCAATATTACAATATTTAAAAATACTGAAGAATATGCATGACTGGCTCTATTTTGCAAAATATAAAGGAACGAAACATAGCAATAATTAGCGCATATTTTGGAAATCTTTATGTACCATTATAGAACATTTTTAAATTAATTCAGCTACAAGTGTTCATCCATGATCTTCCAATGAGCTGCACGCTCAACTATGACATATCGATATAGTATTTGCACCATCGACAGAAATGCTTTACACTTTTCATTATAGATCCTTAAGAATTTGTTATCGCCACGCCCTGTCCACAACAGGCTGCAGCAGCCGACGCCCATGCGCCCCAACTCTAACTCCCCTTTCCACCTTCCTATTTCCATCTCCAACTTCGAATGCCGCAGTTTGCTTAGCGTCCCAGCTCCCCCTCCCAGAGTTCCTTAGGTGCCCGTGCTCTATTTTAACAGCATACTTGGCACAGTCTGCAACGAAGACAAACGAAGAAGACACACACTAACACAGGCACACGCACACGCACAGTCAGACAGACAGTCGGATTAACATTGTTCGTGGAGATAAACAGCAAGCGAAACCGAAACAGAAACAAGTTAACGCAAGAACCATTGAGAGAGAGCAAACGAGGCGGGCGATAGAGAGCGCTGTCAGCCAGTTGGTAGCGCGTTGCCTTTGCGTGCGGACGTGTGTGCGCGCATAGAGTAAAGCAAAGGAGAGAATAATACAAGAGGAAGAAGAGCAAAAGAGCAGCGAAAATTTATTTAAACTAAATGCAACGTAAATGAAAGCTTTTGACTAGGTTTTTTTTTGCGTGTGTTTGTTGCTTACTTATTTTTTTTACTGTTGTATTTGCCTGTTGCAACATGTGGAAAAGTGTTTAAACGTGTTTGTTTATTGTTCTTCATATTGCAGTGCGTAAATTGTTGTAGTTGTTAGTCCGAGCGTGAGAGGGAGAGAGCCGCGTGTGAGAGAGAAAGACAGCATACGAAGATGGAGGATCGCATGATGGCCCACACCGGGGGCATGATGGCACCGCAAGGCTACGGCCTGCCCGGCCAAGATGATGGCCAAAATGCGGGCAACGAGAATGAGGTGCGCAAGCAGAAGGACATCGGCGAAATCCTACAACAGATCATGAGCATCTCGGAGCAGTCGCTGGACGAGGCGCAGGCCAGGAAGCACACACTCAACTGTCATCGCATGAAGCCGGCCTTGTTCTCCGTTCTGTGCGAGATCAAGGAGAAGACAGGTGAGTTCCATGGCCGATATGTCCTAGAGTAGACGATGCTAGAGCGACAAAAATGTGCACGAAAATGAGGAATGATATACTCCAGTAGAAGTCATTTAAAACTATGTACTAGGTATACTGGTATATCTGTAAATCCTTTTGCAAATACGAAATATAATATTTATTTAGAATGGGTTCTTAAAAAATGAAAAATGATCAGATTTTACCATAAAGATAATACATAGAGACCATATCTATGTACTATACAAGAGAGTAGAAGATGGAATCTGTTTTTTTTTTTTTTTTTTTTTTTTTGTATAATTGTAAAGCTATGTATAGAATATAGCGATATTATATGATATACCAATATGCATAGTTGATTTGATGTTATTGATGATTAATTTCATCCGAATAGTAATAGCTGTTGTAGAATCTCTATTATATAGTATATAATCAATGTATAGAAAAATATTATTATTGCAGTTTGGTTAAATTATGGGGCTCTTTAATGTCCTTCTCAAAAATACAAGTTAAAACGCGTTACTTATATAAAAGGGATATAGTAAGAGCCTTTCTCTGCACCTTTTATTTATAAATTGCATTAAATATACCCCTATAAAATGTAAATCATTCAGATATGCATGTATATTTCATGTAGCGCTCTTCTACGCGCTTCTCATTAATTTGCTGATTTCTCGCTGTAAGCAATAAAACGAGAACTAAAATTCAATATGCGTATTCCCCATCCCCATCCCAATTCCCATTCCCATTCCCATTTTTTTATGCATTATTATACTTGCACGCACCTTGTACAAGAAATTTTCAAATCGAGTTTTCCCGTCGTTTCATTTCTTGTTTTTCTTTACTTTACTTTTTTCGCCCTTCTTGTTGTTGTTATTGTTGTTGTTGTTTGTCCTTCATATTACGCCCACGCAGCGACACGAAATGGGCAATAAGAGCGCGTTTTGATTGTGAGCCCAGATGTTTTGAATGGCTCCAATGTTGCCCCATTGCCAGCAGCCTAACCCTAAACCCCCACCCCCTAGCCCACCACAGCGCACAGCCCACAGCCCATGCCAACCCTCACAGATATATACGTATCTCTGTGCTTCTACCCAACCCTCAGAAAACTGCGCACCGTTGCGAAATTGCCTTTTGGGCAAGCTTCTTGGGGCTTGGCTAACACCATTTTTACGGGGAGGGCTTTGCGGCAGACAGAGAGAGGGCGAGAGAGAGAGAGAGAGTGAGAGAGAGAGAGACATTGACTCGAATGAAAAAATCCCCTTAGAAAACACATTCTTATGTCCTTCAGCTCGGAAAACTCTCTCGATTTTTTTTTTTTTATTTTTGATATTGAAGTTTTGATTATATTTGTGGCGGGACGAAAAAAGTAATTATTGGCTTGTTGAATGGACTTTTCATCTTCTTCTTTTTATAGATCAATTTTGTTGGTTTTGTGGGAAATATTAATGATTGTTAAGGAGCTTGAAGAGAAATTGTGAGAGAAAGTGGAAGTTCCTGAGGAAAATATTGGGGAAGCTGAAGAGACATAGCTAGAAAATGGAGGCAGAGAGAGAGAGAGGTGAAGTGAAATGAATTAATACATATCCTAATATACCCCACTAAGTCGAGCGGCTTGCTCCACTACAGGGTATATATGATTGTTGAAGCACTTATTTCCGAATGTTATTTGCTGCTGCATGAGAAATTGGAGAAAAGGGTTTCGTTGCTCATTGTGGCTCTGGTCACACCTTTACCTTCACCGTTACGATCAGGTGACTAATATAATCAAATGTCCAGGGGGTGTCGGAGAGGGCCCTTGGAAGGGTGCCTAGCCGAGTGGGGCTCTAGACTGCAGCCAATTGCCAAGGTAAAGTCGACGCACAAGCAAAAATGAAATCAGTTTAGGCATATATACATAATATATATATGTATATACATTTACAGTAATTTCTGTGTTTTTATCTAGCTGTGTGTGCGATAACACTTCCCAGGGCTCAGTGCGTATCGATGGCGGGCGCCGACAAAGTAAACAAGAATACAAGTTGCCAAGAAGACGAAAACACTTGACCCAAGTCCCAGCGAAGGGGCATTGTAAGAGGAATAGAGAGGGAGCGAGAGAGAGAGTGGGAATGATGGTGTGTTGGGGGAAGTGTTGAGGGTATAAGTAGGGTATAGCTGCTCGTTGTTGAATGGAAACAAGTATTCTCAGAGAAATGAAGAGAATATGGAACAATGAAGAGGCGTCAGAAAACAATGAAAAACTTGGCAAGTTCATATAACTGTATTGCATATCACTGCGACTCTTTATAAGCCAACTTTCTCACATGATAAGTCTATACATTCGATTTTGACATAATATCAAATACCACCAAATTTAATTCTTAGTAAACTGCACTCAAAGCTGAGTTCACATAGTTATCTAGATGATATGGTTAACCGATTTTAACAGTTCTGGCTGAAATGAGCTCTACATGAAAATAAAGCATCTGTAAAAAGTTTCATAAAGATCGCTTTGCTGGCAGCTGAGTTCAGTGGGATAGTTGTATGATATACGGTGCCCATTCAGCCGGTACTATTAAAATCTGTGCCAAATTTCATAAAAGTCACTGCAATCAGAGCTGTGCTCACATAGGCAAACCAATGTTTATACCAAATCTGAAAGACTTTTGGCTTACATATACGTAGTTTTATGTGTGGTAGTGCGCATGTGAGTTGAGCGAATCGCAATACCCGCTTGCGAGAGGGCATTCGAAATAAGTAGATAGAAAACACTTCAGTGTTTGGCTTTGATTGTGGCGCGCTCTGTCGCCCTGTTGTGCCTTGTTTAACATATATTATCAGCTTGTACGCGTGAGTATTAGTGTGTGTGTGTGTGAGTGTGTATGGGTGTGTGAGTGTGCTGCTTAAAATTAGTTTTTGAAAAGCGCAAAAACCTGTTCGACAGCCATGCAAAAATACCACGCACACGTTGTCAGCGACTTGAATCGTGTTTATATATATTCATATATA